ATTTAAATAAACAAATATTAAAATCCCAACTCCTAGTACTGTATGAATGCTGTTGCCTCACCATTTGAAAATAGTTCATCAAATAGCTAGGAACCACATTATTAAACATTTTACGTACCATTCCCAGTTTTAAAAAACACACTCTATTACTAACAGTTAACATACCTAATTTATTAAAAGACTCTTTGTGCAAATGTGCTCTAGGATGCATTTTTAAAATTATTCGTACTAATTTATTTTGTGCCTTTTGCAATTTCTCCTTCAAATTTTGTGAGCAGCTACTGTACCAAAATGACGTAGCATAATCAAAATGGGGTTGAATTAAAGCTCCTGCCAACAATTGTAAAGAATGAACATCCAAAAGATCAGATTGCCTTGCTAAAAACCTAATTTTTCCACAAATCTTCGTAATAACTTTTTTTGCCATAGCATCTCCTGATAATTTATTATCTATTAAGCAACCCAAATAGTTTATCACATTTTTTGACAGAATTTTCCAATCATTAATCTTAACTACCAAATTATCATCTTTTTTTAATTTCACTCTTGAAGCAAATAAAATAGCCTCGGTTTTACCCATGTGTAAAGAAAGTTTGTTGTCTAAAAACCAGTTGTAAACACTTTTTAACTGTGAACTCATAATTTCTTCCAGGGCCCTTTTGTCATGATGAGATACTAAAATTGCGGCATCATCAGCATAAAGATAGAGCTCCTCTGAACACGCTATTTTTAAATCATTAATATATAAAAGAAAAAATAATGGACCTAAAATACTTCCTTGAGGTACTCCACAGTTGATTGATAAGGGAGCAGATAATATACCCTTTATATCGACTCTCTGGTTTCTATCATGCAGATATGACTGAACCCACTTTAAAGACACTTTATCAAATCCAATTGCCTTTAATTTATATAGTAAAATTTGATGGTCCACAGTGTCAAAAGCCTTCTGAAGGTCCAGCAGCACCATTCCACAATAGTTGCCACCATCTACAGCTCTCCGTATTTTGTCTGTCATATGTAATATACATGTCTCGGTGGAATGCAATGCTCTAAAACCTGACTGTAACTCATACAAAATATGTTTTTTAGTAATGTAGTTGACTATCTGTTCGTGTACAATTTTTTCCAGAATTTTAGACATAACCCCTAAGATTGATACAGGTCTATAGTTAATCATATCTAACGTACTTCCTTTTTTATATAATGGTATAACTCTAGCACTTTTAAAATCACATGGTATTTTCCCTTGTTCAATAGATAAGTTTAAAATATGTGACACCAAGGGGGCAATCACTTTAACAGAGTCTTTAAAAAATCTAGCAGGAATATTATCAACTCCAGGAGCCTTATTTAATTTTAACTCACTAATAATTTTTAAAACTTCACTTTCTGTAACAGGTCTCAGACTAAAAGAATCCGGCAAAATGTCCTGTTGTCTATAAAAAGAAAACACTCTATCTTCATTGTAAATATCAGGTTGCCCTGGAAGCTGACCACATAATTTTTTTGCTAACAATATAAAATACTGATTAAAAGATTCGGCAATATCCTTCGGATGAACTATTAATTTGTCTTCTACCTTTAAGTTAATTTTAGATGATTTCCTACTTTTAGCATTTGAATAACCTAAATTTCTCAGTACACCCCAAAGTTTTTTTGGATCAAATTTATTTTCATTGATCTTATCCTTAAAAAAAACCCTTTTTGCTTCTCTTATTTTGTTCCTAACCTCATTTCTCTTTAATTTATAAAACTCATAACTGCTACAATCACTATCCTTCCTAAACTTGGCAAAACTCTCATCTCTTATCTTTAACAGTTGTAAAATTTCATCTGTAATCCAAGGGATAGGAGAAAGCTGTTATAAGTCAGTTTAACTTAATATAAGTTCAATGGACTCGAAAGATTAATTGTTTCAGCTTAAAAATTGAAGGCAACCAGGATTTTTTTAAGTGTTGGCATTTATTTTGGTTGTTGCTAGAAAGGATACAGCCATAATTTAACAACAGTTATTTATTAAATTACCCATTATTAGTATTTTCCACCATCACAGTAATGTAAAAACGGTAATTATAACGGAGTATTATTCTTATTATTTATTAAATTACCCTATAAGTTGCATTTTATTAATATCTACCCCTTGCAGAAATGCAATTAATTCTTCTTGTTGTACAGTCAGTGTCACAAAAATGTTGCTATATTGATGCAGATATCCACAGCTGTATCCCTTCTAGACGTTACCGGGCATTTTTAGGAATTAATTTTCCTTCCAGATGCCTAAATGGAAAAGTCTTGACGTGCCAAACCTGATGCAAGTGTCAAAGTGAAGGTAAAGGAGTAAGTAATGACGCTCTCTGTGAAAACCTGTGGAAGTGTTTTTTATGGTGCCACCACAGCATGAAACCTCCACCCTGTCAGGCTCATCCAATTCTGCAAAACTGGACTATACCATACCACGCTTCTGCCATCATTACACAAATGGTGGCTGAAGAAACCACGCGTCCTCCATATGGAAGTGATTCACCGATGATATACGGAAGATTTAGCTTGTTTAATTACTGTTTTGATTTAAGCAGGTTTGGAGTAATGTGATATCTCCCTATGCGAGTTTTCATCCAAATGACCGCCTTTAAGCTCAAGTCAAACAAATGACTTGAGGGTTAATGGTCAGTCTTGGATTTGCCTGAGTGAAACTAAATAAATGTGTGGATGTAACCTTTTACACTGGCAGAGCTCAAAGATTTCCATGGTCCACTCAGTCATAACATGTGGACGGACCAAATCCTCCTTGCGCTGGCAGGCGTACAGCATTTTGCTGAAATGTCAGGACATCCCTGTGATAAAATAACAGAAACTGCATTTCATACTTTCATGATATTCAGATAGGCAGATTAGGAAACCGATTGCTGTAGGGAATTTTTATTTGTATTTTTATAATCATATTTTTACACACTGCAAAAATGGGAAAAACTTTTGAGTTTATATACACTACCTGACAAAAGTCTTGTCTCCTATCCAAATTTTAGGAATAACAAATAATAACTTGACTTAAAGTTGATCATTTGGTATCAGAAGTGGCTTATATGAAAAGCAAAGGCCTCTAGATTACACTTATTTTACTAAAATAAAATTGATTATGTCTTGACTTTTAATTATTTCATTAGGACAGTAAAGTTTGTTTAAACAAAAGTCTCATCACTGAACAGAAATAATGTCCAGTATAGAATATAAAGTCCTGCTGCAGTGGAGACAGAATGAATATTGTGTCTGACTCCATCATGAGCTTGGAGGACTGCATCCATACATCTCTGCACTGACTCAAATCACTGATTAATAAAGTCATCTGGAATGGCGAAGAAAGCGTTCCTGCAGGACTCCCAGAGTTCATCAAGATCCTTTGGATACTTTTGTCAGGTAGTGTACATTTATATTCATAAAAATATGAAAATAAGTAGTTTGAATTAAAGAAAATCGAAGTCCCTACAATAATCGGTTTCCTAATGCATTCAAAATAAGTGTGAATAAAACCATATTGATCACCACTGTCCCGTTAGTAAGTAAATGTGAAAAATAAAAGTTTTACCATTGTTACACCTGTTCATAAAGTATCCTGGAAAAATTTCTTTGAAAGTATTGGACCACTTTTTAAAAAAAAAAAAAAAAAGCCTTGCTGCATTTTGTATTATTGTTGCATTTTGTATATTTGTAAATATTAATTATATATCTTATTTGCTTGCATGTTTTATAAAATCTATAGGAACACACAGGCCTAATCTTAAAACTACTTATTAACCCCATTAGACTTATTGAAATTTAATTACATTTCTTTGCCTTTAATAGTCATGAATTTAAAAAAAAAACTAAAAGTTGTAACTTGGGTATCAAAATTATAAGTTTTTCACAATGTAAAAAGGTAATGTTATTTGTAAAAATGTAAAAATTAATGATAGTTCATATATATATTTTTTTTAATCTGTTAACCACAAAACAGATTGTTAGAAAGAATGTTGGAAACCATAAATATAATTAGGCGGGAGGGGAAAGACACCATGGAAGTTAATGGCTACAGGTATCTGACATTCTTCAAAATATCTGCTTTTGTGTTCAAAAGAAATAAATTCAAAAAGATTTATAAAGATTGAGGGTGCCAACAGTGAAAGAATTAAAAAAATGTTTTTGGATAAACTACACACTTTCACAAAGCTCAGTTATAGACCCAAGTTAATTTAGTTCACATATTAAAAATAAGCTGGATTTATATTATATTTTATATTTTTTTCTAAACTTTGCCATTTAAATTGCAGCAGTCAATCTAGAAGAAAAGAGGAAATTGTTTAAATGTTGTTTTTTGTAATGAAAAAAGTCCAGGTTTGTTTTATCCTAAATTTAGATTTTATGTCCAACAGATGGTGCAATTTCGCTTTGGATTAGGCTACATGAAATCTTAATTTTCTGCCACAAAAGCATATGATTTTAGTAGGCTATGTAAAGTCTTGTGTAGCACATTTGCGTTCGTCATAAAGAAACTCACATGAAAAAAAAATACTGTAGTAATTTATAGGCGGAATGTTACATCATAGGCTAAATGTAGTATTTTAATCATGTTTAAATACTGCAGTTCTTTAGTTTTCAGTACAGTAGTGGTGTATTGACATTGTGTACAACAGGTTTTGTTAAGGTTTTGCACACAGCAACCAGCTACAAATACACCACAACAGATTAACTGAAGCACTCGTATGATTAACCTACAGTAGTTTATGGTACGTTATTACAGAAAGGGTGTAACCTTAATGGACGGAGTTTGAAGTGATGGGTGACTTAGTTGATGATTACAAATATTAATTCACACGTCCTAATACTATTCACATTTGTATTCATGTGAATTACCGCGCTCCGTTCAAACCCGACCGTTATCCGTTATTTTTTGCAGTGTACGTGAACATGACGGGAGCTAACGTTAATCCCTCGTTACCACAAACGTGTTTAATACATTCAAGATGTATTCGGTAAAATTACCATATCAAGTTTAAACTACAGAGATTTTTGTTCACTAAAAGCTTAAATAGCTATGTTTCCCCTACAGTAGTTCCACTTCGCCGGATCACAATGCTAGCGTAACTTACTTCTTGTCAGGTGCGTTAAATCAGTTACCAAAACAAACATATTAAATCTTTTAGCAACTTTGCAAACCTCCGGGTTAAGAAGGAGGACTTTGTGTTGGTGGCTGCTTTCAGGACACATGCTGGAGGAAATGCATCATCTCTTCAGACTCCCCATCCAAAACCGCAGGACTCTCAACTCTACATTATTATTTCTGCTTTCCACAGATCAAACCACTGGAGCTCAGAGCAGACTGGGATTATTATGGCTCAATGGATGCAATACACAATATTTCTGACTGCTTTTCTGCGTGTATGGTCGGCTCCACAGACGAGCAAAAGACGAGAGTTCACCGAGGCTCAGGTAATACAAAACTATTTAAAAATGTATTCAATTAATACGTTATTTAACAAATACTTTACATAACAACATCTTTATTGTTAAGGCGTATTTCAGATGTTACACATAAAAAGAAATATAGGTCAAATGTTTTTCAATGCTTTAAATATACCTTTTAAATCCTTAAATTACATAAAATTAACCTAAAATAAATACCTCTGCATGAATTAGAAGCGATTGGGTCTTCATACTTTTTGTCCCATTTTTGTTGTCCTAAGTTATATCTAAAATTTAATTCATAAAATGCTTCTATTATACAACACACTAAAGAGAGAGATATATGTATGTGCTGCTTTTTTTATCTATTTAAAATATATATTTCAAAATCTAGTGACAAAACATGTGCCATCAAACACAACACACTTCTAAAAATAAATGATATACACTATATTCTTATACGCTGCAATGCATAATTCATAAACTACTTTTATTAAATGTAATAGGCCTACTTTCTATTAGAAATGTAATGCATACTATGAACTGTATGAATTATGCATTGCAGTGTATAAACATATAGTGTATATCACTTATTTTTAGAAGTGTGTTGTATTTGTTGGCACTTGTAATGATTTTTAAATATATTTTCAAATAGATGAAAACAGCATAGAAAAATACTTCTCATTTCCTAAAGCTGTATTTAATAAACTCTTAAAATACAGAATGCACCACTGTGCCAATATTAAGGCACTATAAGCTTGCTTTAAAACAATTAAAAAAAGATGCATTACAGTTATTTACTGTACTGGTTTATTTAGCTACTTTGGTCTTCATCACAGGCTCCATCTTTCATAATGTGGATATCAAAAATTGCTGCATAGCTACCATTAGAAAAACGTACCTATGACAAACATAACAAATCTGACAGGTTTTGTTTAATTTGGTCTCCCCTTTGGGAATACATAAATGAGCGCTCTTAAATTAACACAGGCTCCTTGTCATTCATTTACAATTTTTGTCACAACCTCCGCTTAAAGATTGCTCTAAAATGGTGCGATTTTACTTTATTTTTATCTATTTATTTGTTTTTTCTCATGTAAATTTTTTTGTTACTTTCCAATTTGAAGATGTGGGCATACAACAACAACAAAAAATAATAATAATATTACAAGTTTAGACAGAATTCAGAAAAAATGAATCAATTTAGGGATGTTTTAAAGCAGAGAAAATAACATTTCCGGTCTGACTGCAAAATAAATGTTTAACTTAGTGGTGTATTAATAAGTAACTCATATGAATTCATAATAAAAGTTGATTTTATTTATTTAAATATTTTAAACAAAGTATAACTTACCCCTAAACGAAACCATTAATAGGAAATAAGCAGATCACACAAAAAGATTTTAATTTAATACAAATATAGTGCTTAAACATTAAATACTTATAAATTGATGTTTCTGTTTCTGACTTTTGAGTCCAAATCTGGTGGTAGTTTCTGATATGTTAGCTGTTTTTGACAATGCATTGGTCATGATTTAGCATTAATAATGATTTTTTTATGATTAATAGTGCAAGTTATATACATCTTCTTTATATCTAATAGACATACCTGAGGCGGTTTGGATATCTAGATACTCCACTGAACCCAGAAGCTCAGAGAGATTCCAGTGAGTGGGATATGAAGGTGGCTCTCAGGTAAAAATCTGATGACACAGTTTTGTCTTTTCCAATCATTAAATAGCGTTATATTTTAGTGAATTGCATCAAATTTATGGTGCCCTGTTATGCTTTCCTGGATATTACCTTTCATGTTGTATGTAAAATAGTCAATATAAAATATAAAATGTCAGCAAAGATTAAAAAGAGCTGGGGAAATGGAGCTACTGTCTCCCAAACATAAACAAAACAAAGAAATCTGGACTAAACAAGTCATCATTTAAACACCGGGTTACAGGAACTCAGTGATTAGAACCATCCACTAGCATGTAATCATGATCACCTGTCGCACAACTGTAATACAAATATAATCAAAACAGGAACAAACCAAACAGATGAACACGTACATATACTGATCTTGAAACTCTTTCTCAATACGGACTCTTCAGCATTGCAGGCAACATGTCCAAACCAAACATTCCTAATCAACCAATACTCTCACTCTACTATACACCTGTGTTAAAGCTAGAGCAGGAGAAAAGCATAACCCCCCTAGAGGGCTGTAGTGAAAACTTTTATTACTGTAAATAAGAGACCTCAGAATGATATGAGCTTTTAAAATAGCACTTTAATCAAACCTCTTGAGAAACATGCTCATATTTTTATTTCTGCCATGGTTTTCTGAACTGTGATATTTGTAAAAGTCTCTTTCAGAGGGTTTCAGGTCTGCCCGTCACTGGAAATCTGGACAGAGCGACTGTTTTTAAAATGAGGGAGCCGCGCTGTGGTGTTGAAGACCCGTTCAACCAGAAGTCTTTCAAATACAGGCGATTTGGTGGTGGGTACATCCTTCCAGATTGATTAATAATACAGTAAAATAGCTGTATTCCCAAATGAATAACACCTTCTGTAGATTGTTTTTATAATAAGGGTATTCTTAATTCATGTACAATCACTTATTAAAACTAAACTGCATTGTACCTTATGAAGTATTGTAGAAGCAGATAAAATACTTACCGATTTGTTCTGATTACTGTTAAGTGCGTGGTGAATAATTACATAAACTAAACCAACAAAATATACAGACGTACAGTACATTACAGTTTCTATTATTAAAATGCATTATAAGGATCTTTATTCATCACATGAAGTTTGAATATCTGGAATGTGAAGGTGCAAAAATATTGAAACATTGAGAAAAATAGTGATAATAGTCCTTATAACAACATATTTTCTTGTTAAATCGCTGAATGCCTTCTCAGTTGTAAGTTGCTTTGGCCAGAAACGTCGGCTAAATTGAATATAAATGTAAAATATGGTTATATTAAAAAGAAATAATAAAAAATGGCCATATAATGGTCATATAAATTAGTTAGCATTAACAGCCCTGATGATAACAAACAAAACAAATTATCAAGCCCTTTAAATACAGTTTGTTTACATAATGTTGATTTTAATATGAAGAAAAGTTAGCGATGTTGCCTCACAGCAAGAAGGTCGCTGGTTCGAGCCTTAGCTGGGTCAGTTGGCATTTCTGTGTGGAGTTTGCATGTTCTCCCTGTGTTGGTGTGGGTTTCCTCCGGGTGCTCCCCCACAGTCCAAACACATGCGCTATAGGTGAATTGAATAAGCTAAATTGTCTGTAGTGTATGTGTGTGAATGAGAGTGTATGGGTGTTTCTCAATGATGGGTTGCAGCTGGAAGGGCATCCGCTGCATAAAACATATGCTGGATAGGTTGGCTAAGGGGGCTAATAATATTGACCTTAAAATGTTTTTTTTTTAATTGTAATTCTTTTTTTTTTATTCCAGCTAAAATATACAAGTGAGACTTTCTCCAGAAGAAAAAATATAATAGGAAATACTATGAACATTTTCTTGCTCTGTTAAGCATCAATTGGGAAATATTCAACACAATCTCATGACAATTCGTAACTTTTTCATTTAGAGGCTAATTCGTACAAATTCGTACGATCTAATTCGTACATTTTAGTACGATTTGCTCATCCCCCAATGACGGTTGGGTTTAGGGGTGGAGTTAAGTGCAACGCCTCCTTTTTAAAAACGTACAATTTCTTACGACTGAACTCGTACGAATTCGCCACTAAACTGCCAAAACGTAAAATACTTACGTTTTCTCGTGAGATCAGGCTGGAAATATTTGAAAAAGAATAAACTAATATTTTTGAATTCAACTGTGTATACAGGTTTCATAGAAAGTGTCATCAAAAATGTTTAAAATGACACAGCGTGTCGTTCTTATTTTCTAGGATACTGGAGAAAAAAAAACTTAACATATCGAATTTACAACTATACCCCAGATATGGGTAAATCCGCAACGCAGACGGCGATACGCACAGCCTTTAAGTACTGGAGTGACGTGACCCCGCTCAGCTTTACAGAGATTCACTTCGGCACTGCTGATATCAGGATCTCCTTTCACAAGAGAGATGGCTGTCCATCGCCTTTTGATGGGCCGGGTAAGTAAATCTTACAAAAGGGTTTGTGGCACGGTGGCTCATTGTTTAATGCTGTCGCCTCACAGCAAAAAGGTCGCTGGTTCAAGTCTTGGCTGGACCAGTTGGCATTTCTGTGTGTAGTCTGCATGTTCCCCCCTGTGTTGGAGTCAGTTTCCTTCGGGTGCTCCGGTTTCTCCCACAGTCCAAACACATGTGGTATACAGTAGGTGAATTAAATAAACTAATTTGGCCAGAGTGTGTGTGTGTGTGTGAGTCAATGTGAGAGTGTATGGGTGTTTCCCAGTACTGGTTTACGACTAGGAGGCCATTCATTCCTTTTCTTTTTGGCTTAGTCCCTTTATTAATCCGGGATCGCCACAGTGGAATGAACCGCCAACTTATCCAGCATATGTTTTACGCAACAGCTGCAACCCATTTCTGGGAAACATCCATACACACTCACTCACAATCATACACTACGGACAATTTAGCCTACCCAATTCACCTGTACTGCATGTCTTTGGACTGTGGGGGAAACTGGAGCACCAGAAGGAAACCCACACGAACGCAGGGAGAACATGCAAACTCCACACAGAAACGTCAACTGACCCAGCCGAGGCTCGAACCAGTGACCTTCTTGCTGTGAGGCGACAGCATAACCTACTTCGTCACTGCGTCGCCGCCGGAAGGGCATCTGCTGTGTAAAACATATGCTGGATTATTTGGCGGTTCATTCCACTGTGGTGACCCCTGATAAATAAGGCACTAAGCCGAAGGAAAATGAATGAATGAAGAAGAAAAAAATCTTTAAAACACTTCGGTTTTACACTTGAGTATCATTTAATGGCTCAGTCAGGACACTGGTAGTTTTATATTTGTGTTGCTTTACAATAAATGCTGACTAATCATCTTTTGTCAGGTCATGTTCTTGCTCACGCCGAAGCTCCTCCGTCAGGAATCGTTCACTTTGATGAAGACGAGTTCTGGACTGAAGGGAAGTATTATGGCTCTAATCTGCGTATCGTTGCGGCTCATGAGATCGGGCACGCTCTGGGTTTGGGTCACTCTCAGTACAGCAGCGCACTAATGGCAGCACACTACACCGGCTACCAGGTCAACTTCAGACTGCACATCGACGACATCAGAGGAATCCAAGCCATTTATGGTGAGATATTCTTGCATTCATTTTCTTTTGGGCTTAGTCCCTCCGGGGTCGCTACAGCGGAATGAACCGCCAACTTATCCAGCACGTTTTTACGTTTTACCTTCCAGCCGCAACCCATCTCTGGGAAACATCCACACACACTTATTCACACTCTTACACTATGGACAATTCGAACCAGCGACCTTTTTGCTGTGAGGTGACAGCACTACCTACTACGCCACCGCGTCGCCATTAACAATTATATGTATGAGGAAAATTTGGGTTTTCTTCTGCAGACTGCTAACGACATCTAAAAAAAAGTTATTTATATATATACATGGTTTCCGCTACATTCATTCTTCCGTGGCGGGACCCCAAACCAAAATTCATCACGCCATGGCTACATTACAGCTTCAAAATAATTCAAAATAATACAGATTCAAAATATTCGGTCGTTTTTTAAATAGTGGGTTAAAATCGCATCGAAAACGTGTGAAAAGGTAAGTGAATAAAAACAGCACAAACTTTTCTGTGACCGTAGTAGTGATGTGTGTTCTGTTTAACCCTTTACGGTGACTTGCTGACTGACTGACTGACTGACTGACTGACAGGTGTGTGATGCGTGAGACCAGCAAACACGGTGTAGCTTTCAGTCATGATGAACACAGTTTCCATAATATACTTTATTTACAGATAAAGGTCTGTGGCTCTGCGTATAATGACTTTATCTTGCTGGAGTTTTTAGCCGTTTCACTTTACTTCAGGATGCATTAATGGTGGTCCGCTCCGCAAGTCTATCGGAGACATTCATAAATATTCCTAGCAAATCTAATAAATGTTGGAGACATACTCGGTACATAAACACACTCAATCACACTTTAGCCGCGTTTATTTGAGGGCGCAAGGAAATCTGCACTTGAGCAGCGTATATTTGAGGGCGCGCAAGAAGTTTTGTGCACGAACAGAGGAAATCGGCGCTCAAGCAGAGATTGACATGCTTGTAGGCTATTACATGAATGAGATCTCGACTAATACTGAGCCCACGACATTTGTCAATGAAATAACGCCACATGTTGTGGTAGATCTGTGTAAAATGCCCAACAGAGTCTGCCGCCACAGCTGGAAAAAATCCTAGAGGAAACACTGATACTGATTATTAAAATGAAAAAACAAATGTTTTAACTTCTAAAACGTTAATAAATCAATATTAGGAGGGACAATGGAGATTTTTGACAACCAAAAATGAAAACCTTTGTAAATTTGACCAATTATGGCCAAAAAAGGAAAGTATGTTTGACAAACCACCTGTAGGAAACACTTCTCTATATTAAAACAAATAGCAGGAAGGGCATCCGCTGCGTAAAACATATGCTGGATGAAATGGCGGTTCATTGCGCTTCGGCGACCCCAGAAAAAAAACACCAAGTTAATGAATGAATGTTAATTTTACATTTGTACGAAATCAAACCTTTAGAAAATCAAACAAATATTAACATTTTACTAACATTAGACACACACCTAGTAATTTTCAAACACTTTTACATTTGTTTTATAGCTCTTTAAATTCATGCCTACATCAGTGACTCTATTTGATTTTAGGTAAAAGGGTCTCCAGTACGACTACTGCTGATGATATCTATGATGTAACATATCCCACAATGATGGCCCCGTTCCCTAGAGGTGATGTTCTGGATCCGTGCAACGCCAAACTTGATGCTATAATGCTGGGTGAGGAATTTACACGAGTAAATGGTCACATTTTGCTGCTTTTCTTTTGGCAGTGCAAATAAATTTTGCCATTTGAGTCCACACACACACACGTTAAGTGCACTCCGAACCAACAGGTGGCAATAAAAGCCTTTTACGCTGGATTCCCACCGAATGCGGAATTAAATATTTGCGTGGTAAACTGAATGCAAGACAATGCAAATGTGAGAACAATTCCAGAAACCTTCCTGAACAATGGAGAATGTGCGACGCATTTGCTATGAACGCACAAAATTTGGCTTAATCCAGTCTTCTGCGTTTGGTGTGAACTCAGCCGTGTTGGCCAATCAGAAAGGAGGAAAGAGCGTGCACACACTAAGGTCATAAAACAAAAACTCTCAATTTATTGGCCACACCCGGAGTTTTATACAATCTTCACCCTGGCTGGATTTTTGAGGAAGTTTCGTTTCCAGTAATGTGTTTTCGTGTGAACAAATGGCCAAACTGAGTATAGAAAAAAAACTGTGGTTTTGAGAATACTCATGTTAGTGTGGACAGGGCCTAAAATGCCCAGTACATGTGCACCTGTGGGTATGTTTGATAGTAAAACATGTTATTGCTAATGTTGATTTTTGGTGTCAGGTCCCTGGCGTAAGACATATGCATTCAGTGGGGATTATGTGTGGACGGTAACAGACACAGGTCATAACTCTCCAGTGAAAATAAACCTGCTGTGGAAAGGGCTGCCAGGAAACCTGAATGCAGCGGTTTACTCCTCGAGAACCAACAAGACATACTTCTTTAAAGGTAAACGATTTTTCTCTGCAGATATAAGTTTTACTTTTATACAAAACTCTAAGAGGCTCTAAAGTCAACAAGGCAGGGTTTTAAAATAGTGTTATGTGCGTATGCGGTACAAAATGTGTGTACACATTGCTTATCACACACACAGGGTGCACAGCAGCACACAGATATCTTTAAATATAAAAAATTAAAAGATTAAAATGTAAAAAAATATATATTATTGTCTATGTAAATCTAAAAACCGCTACCTCCTCACATGACTTTACAGAACAGTTTCTCAAGCAGTTTGCGATGCATTTTGGAAACAGGAGATGAGCCCCTGGTCTAATGCGCCACCTGGCTTGAGAAACCCGTTCTTAAAGACTTATTATTTGGGTAGCACACATATTCTGAATGCCTTCTGCAGAATTACATGCATGTTGATAGGATAGTTTATGTCATTGTTTAACTGAAGCTCTTTTCTTCTGCTTGTTTCTCAGGTGAAAAAGTCTGGAGGTACACAAATTACCGTCTTGATTATCGATACCCCAAACCACTGAAAAGAATCCCGGCCAACATCGACGCTGCTTTGTACCATGAGAAGAACAAGAAAATCTTCTTTTTTAAGGTATTTGTGATTTAAACATTATTGAACACAATGATTTATTTAATTATTATATAAATATTTATATAATGATTTATAATCGCTCATGACTGATCGAAGCTCTCTGTATAACAATACACTGTTTTGTTTAGCATTTTCAATTGAAGTCAGTAGTTTTTAGCTGTATGTTTGGCAACAGCCATTTTTTGTGTAGTTTATTTATCGGTTATGGGAAGAATAGACCTCTTGAAAATTGAACTTAAGCAGTTTCTGTTAAGATGCTTTGACACAATGATAAATGTAAAAGCGCTATAGAGATTAGGATTTATTATATACACTACCTGACTAAAGTCTTGTAGCCGGTCCAAGTTTTAGGAACAACTAATAATAACTTGACTTCTAGTTGATCATTTGGTATCAGAAGTGGCTAATATGAAAGGCAAAGGCCTCTAGATTACGCTTATTTGACCAAAAATAAAATATGATCATGCCTTAATTTTTAACGATTTCATTAGGACAGTAAGATCTGACTTTGCTGAGACAAAAGTCTCATCACTGAACAGAAATAATGTTCAGTATAGAATATAAAGTCCTGCTGCAGTGGAGACAGAATGAATATTGTGTCTGACTCCATCATGAGCTTGGAGGACTGCATCATACATCTCTGAGTCAAATCACTGATTAATAAAGTCATCAAGTTCATCAAGATCATCAAGATTCTGTGTTCATCTTCAATGCCTCCTCCTCCATCTTACCCCAGACATGCTCAATAATGGTCATGTCTGATTACTGGGCTGGCCAATCCTGGAGCACCTTGACCTTCTTGGCTTTCAGGAGCTTTGATGTGGAGGCTGAAGTATGAGGAGCGCTATCCTGCTGGAGAATCTTCCCTCTCCTGTGGTTTGTAATGTAATGGGCAGCACAAATGTCTTGATACCTCAGGCTGTTGATGTTGATCATCCACTCTGCAGATCTCGCGCACACCCCCATACTGAATGAACCCCAAACCATGATTTTTCCTTCACCAAACTTGACTGATTTCTGTGAGAATCTTGGGTCCATGCTGGTTCCAGTAGATCTTCTGCAGTATTTGTGATGATTGGGATGCAGATCAACAGATGATTCATCAGAAAAATCGGCCTTCTGCCACTTTTCCAAATGATCAACTAGAAGTCAAGCTATTATTTGTTGCTCTTACAACTGAGATCAACGACAAGATGTTTATACCCATATTTTGAGTTATATGCATTGTGGTGAGCTAATTTTTTTGACTGCAGCAACCCATTGATAAACTCTTCCTTTCCTTAAGCTTTCTGTAAAAAAAAAGAAAAAATAAATAAAAATCAACAAAAAAAAGAACAAAATAATTAAAAGGAAAATAAGAATAACTTTACGTTTTTGTTTGAAAATGTCCTTGTTTTAACTGTTATCTGATATTTTTTTCCATGTAACAAATTTTATTTTAAGCCATTTGCTTCTGATTTAAATGAGTCTCAATTGTTGATATTTGAGGTTGAAAACAAGACAAACGTACGCTTAAGAAAATCATGTTTTGTACTATATCGCGTCATTTTAAAATGTAAAGACTTTAAATCATCATCTTTAGATGTTTGCAGTAGAACAAAAGACAAAACACAGTTCTTATAGAGAATTTTTCATGTGATTTTCTTGCATTTTCCAGCTCATGACCTCTTTAAATCAATGTTTTTCAGGGCTCAGGCTATTGGCAGTGGGACGAAATGGTTTACAATGACCTCAGCATTTACCCCAAACCCATTTCACGCCTGTTTACTGGCATCCCATCAAATCCCGACGCATCCTTCACATGGACCAATGGGAAAATGTATTTCTTCAAAGGTGACAAGTACTGGCGCGTCAGTGAACAGTTCACTGTTGATTCTGGATATCCGCTCAGTAAACGTGTCCGCTGGATGAGGTGCAACTAATTTACCCAACGTTTCCCTGAAAACTCAGTGAACGTTTCAATAGACAGTATAAGGCCTCCGTTTCAAATGACTGCTACTAAAATCTATGGGTATGAAGTGAAATGATTGGTAAATACAGATGCTATTTCCAGTGAAATTCATTGCCACAGATCGAAAATATTAATCATTAGGGTGCAAATGTAATTGAGAAAAGACATGGGGCCTCATTTATAAAGCGTGTGTGATCTTAGATTTCATCTTAGAAAGTACGTGTGTGTATCTATCATACTGAGGGCGCTATCATACACCCGGCTCAATAAGACGCAAGAAGTGTTTGGCGCGATTTGTAGCTATTTTCAGACCAGCGCAACTGTAATTTTCACGTTTTGCACCACGTTGTTTAAATAGCAAATATATTTGCACCCATTTGTGGACTCATGGGTGTGTTGGTCTATAAAGGAGATGTGTTAAGGTGCATTGCTGGCATGTTGCTATTTTGTGGAACTAAAATAGACCGCGCCATTGACCAAGTAAAAGCTGCTCTAAAGTCTAGCACAGAGCTTGTAAGGTCCAAACACTTACACATTGCTTTATATACACAGGATGTACAGCAGTACACAAATATATTTACAGATGAAAACAATTAAAGGATTAAAATGATACGAAAATAATTATTTCTAATTATCTACATAAATATAAAAACCTCCACGCCTTCTTTATCTCGGGGGGCTTTTTCATTTTATTCATAACAATCTGCATCTGTATAATGTTATTATTATTATCAGCATTATTTATTATATGCATATTTATATTTATTTAAATAAAAACAAGTGTAGATTTGTCCACCTGTGGGGTTTTGGAGACGTCTGCATCACCGTATGGGGCATGAGAACAGGACGTGTGTTTGGATATAGCTCAGTTTTTTGACCACACTTCCTTAATATTGTTCATCTATTTCTTTGCTGGAAATTAGAACTGAATTCAGAAATAGTTTTGAAACAAATCTTAGTGCTTAACAAACTAAATTAAATGTTTAGACTAATGGATGTCTTCAGTGGAGTGAGTTTACACCGTTTCCTTACTCCACGAAAGTAAAGGAGTAAAGAGTAAAAGTAAAGAGGGTGAATGGAGGAGGCTTGTTCTTTATCCTCGCGCTGCAGAAGGTCTGTGTAAATGTTTTCTCACTAGTGAAGCGTTCAGATTTTACACTTTTAAAGTCCACCATGTAAATAGCAAACGCACCATGGCGTGACGCTACTCACTCTTAAAGGGAATGGGAGATGAGACTCTGATTAATTTAATGCATGTGATGTTCAAAACACACCCAGAACTCATTAGGAGAATAAGCACAACCCTGTTAGACCATGCGCTGGAGTGCAGAGCGCATTTCTCTGTCCTTAAATTAGCAATGGATTCGGACACGTCCTTTTTCTCCTTGAGCTTTAGACTTTGCACCTAGATCGTTAAAATAGACCCCTGAGACTTATTTCAGTATGTTGATGTAATTCCTAATGAACTGAATATTAAGTAGGGGGCAGGGCTTTCTTTTTGTACATAATTTTGTCACAGCAAACTAACAGTAAGTAGGGCGTGGTTAAGAATATTGCAGCTGACACGTCAAACAAAGGACCGCCTCTCTAATTATGTAATTTAGTTTGTTAAGCGCAAAGATTTGTTTCAAAACTATTTCTAAATTCAGTTCTAATTTCCAGCAAACGAATAAATGAACAATAATATTGATGTGTGGTTAAAAAACTGAGCTACATCCAAACACAAACTCTGTTCTTATGCCCCAGATGGTGTTGCAGACGTCTCCAAAACCCCACAGGTGGACAAATCTACACTTGTTTTTATTCAAACAAATATAAATATGCATATAATAAATAATGCTGATAATAATAATAACATCATACAGATGCAGATTGTCATGAATAAACTGAAAAAGCCCCCCGAGATAAAGAAGGCATACAGGTTTTTACATTTATGTCGAAAATAATTGCGGACGTCTCCTAAACCCCACAGGAGGACAAATCTTAACTTGTTTTTATTCAAATAAATAAAAATACGCATATGATGAGTAATACTCCAATAATACAAACACACGTCCTGTTCTTATGCCCCTATATGGTGATGCATTGTCTAAAACCAAACAGATGGACAAATCTAAACAAAAAAGATAAAAACACATATAATTATGCATATAATAAATAATAATAATAACAATAACACTATTCCACCAAATTAAATTGGTGTTTCCACCACCTGACGTAAAGAAGGCATGGCAGAAGGTAGCGGTTTTTATATTTATGCAGACAATCTTTTTTTTCTTTCATATTTTAGAGATGTTCGTGCACTGCTGTACATCCCTGTGTGTGTAATAAGCAACGAGTACGCACGTTTTGAATCTGCATAGGCAAATGATACTAGCGCACTCTTTAAATAACAAATAAAAACCCTGCGCCATTGACTTTAGAGCAGCTTCTAGTTGGTCATTGGTGTGGTTTATTTCAGTTGCCTAAAACTAGCAATGCATCAACACAGGTTTGTGTGCACACATTCGTTTACTCTGAAATCACACTTACACATTTTTCAAAAAGACCCTATTTTACAAATTAAATACGCTTTCTGTGCGACATTTAATAAATGAGGCCCCTGGGTGGGAAGGTTTTTCTTGCTTTAATAACATTGTTATTTATTGTTTTATAAGAGTTACTACTTGAAGTAGCTTTATTTCATTGAGTTTTCTGTTTTAAATCTTACACAAAGACTGGTGCTTCCATTCATTTGATGAAGACACCGAAGTCCTTTGGTCAAAATCTGAATTCACTAGATCCTCTATTTTATTCGCCATGAAATAGATCTTGCACATTATTTTGTCTTTATGAATTCCGATGTACTCAGGATTAAAAATGAGAGTACAATTGCATTCCTGTGCATTTCAAAAGCTTCATGCCATAAGTGAAGACTAATACATTACTAAAACGTTACTTTTTAGGTCCATTTAACCAACAAACAGAGCCACATCTGAAAATAAATACTGTACAGTGCGGTTTATTTACATTTTTACACCTTCACCACATGAAGCACAGCACAGCTGACAGCTTACAGACAAATATTTCAGTGGCTTGAGTCCTGTAATAGCCTGTATTTGTGAGCCTGTGACTGTAAAGCTCGATCTAAAACTCATCCCTTTCTATAATTACTCCATATGAATGTTTATGTCGCACATACACACAGCTGCGTGGGCCGTTTCTTCACACAGAGCTGTCAGCGTCTGAAGCAGTCTGAGTGCTCGTGGGAAGAAAAGTCTGTTCACACATCGGCTTGTGAAATGTACTGAAGTATTGAGTGCAAGTTTATGTATTTCAAGGTGCAACCAACATCCATCACGAGCGGCTACACACCAAGTCACCTTAGATGCTGCTATAATACGAGGAAAAAGTGTCTAAAGCAATTTGTGCTTGGATGTTGCTAGTGAATTTCATAAGTAAATGATATTATATTGACTATTGAATGCTAATGATAGCTAAAATGAAAAAGAGTCATCAGGCATTATTAAACTTTGATGTACTTAAAAAAAAAATACGTTAAAAATAGATAAAGGAACTTCTACCAATGTAAGTAACTTTTTATAAAAATTAAAATGGAAAACAAAACAAATGCAGGCCTTTAAGGCATATTGTCTCCATTTTTGTTTTTATTTTGAAGCATTAGTTTGTAATAGTCAGTATGAACTCACCGGCCACTTTATTAGGTACACCTTACTAGATCCAAGTTGGCCCCCCTTGGACTTCAGAACTGCCTTAATCCTTCGTGGCATAGATTCAACAAGGTACTGGAAATATTCCTCAGAGATTTTGCTCTATATTGACATGATAAGAACACACAGTTGCTGCAGATTTGTCGGCGAATCCCCCGTTCCACCACATCCCAAAGGTGCTCTATTTGATTGAGATCTGGTGACTGTGGAGGCCATTTGAGTACAGTGAACTCATTGTCATGTTTAAGTAACCAGTCTGAGATGATTCACACTTTATGATGTGGCGCATTATCCTGCTGGAAGCAGCCATCAGAAGATGAGTACACTGTGGTCATAAAGGGATGGACATGGTCAGCAACAATACTCAGGTAGTCTGTGGCGTTGACACGATGCTCAATTGGTACTAATGGGCCCAAAGTGTGCCAAGAAAATCTCCCCCACACCATTACACCACCACCACCAGCCTGAACCGTTGATACAAGGCAGGATGGATCCATGATTTCATGTTGTTGAGGCCAAATTCTGACCCGACCATCTGAATGTGACAGCAGAAATGGAGACTCATCAGACCAGGCAATGTTTCTCCAATCTTCTATTGTCCAGTTTTGGTGAGTCTGTGTGAATTGTAGCCTCAGTTTGCTGTTCTTAGCTGACAGGAGCGGCACCCGGTGTGGTCTTCTGCTGCTGTAGCCCATCCGCCTCAAGGTTGGACGTGTTGTGTGTTCAGAGATGCTTTTCTGCAGACCTCGGTTGTAACGAGTGCTTATTTGAGTTACTGTTGCCTTTCTATCAGCTGGAACCAGTCTGGCCATTCTCCTCTGACCTCTGGCATCAACAAGGCACTGCCGCTCACTGGATATTTTCTCTTCTTCAGACCATTCCCTGTAAACCCTAGAGATAGTTGTGCGAGAAAATCCTAGTAAATCATCAGTTTCTGAAATACTCAGACCAGCCCGTCTGGCACCAACAACCATGCCACATTCACTTAAATCATCTTTCTTCCCCATTCTGATGTTCTTGACCATGTCTAAATGCCTAAATGCATTGAGTTGCTGCCACAAATACTTCAGAAGACCTAATGGAACCCGTATGGACCCAAGATTCTCACAGAAATCAGTCAGGTTTAGTGAAGGAAAAGTCATGGTTTGGGGTTACATTCAGTATGGGGGTGTGCAAGAGATCTACAGAGTGGATGATCAACATCAACAGCCTGAGGTATCAAGACATTTGTGCTGCCCATTACATTACAAACCACAGGAGAGGGCAAATTCTTCAGCAGGATAGCGCTCCTTCTCATACTTCAGCCTTCAGATCAAAGCTCCTGAAAGCAAAGAAGGTCAAGCTGCTCCAGGATTGGCCAGCCCAGTCACCAGACATGAACATTATTAAGCATGTCTGGGGTAAGATGAAGGAGGAGGCATTAAAGATGAATACAAAGAATCTTGATGAACTCTGGGAGTCCTGCAGGAACGCTTTCTTCGCCATTCCAGATGACTTTATTAATCAGTGATTTGACTCAGAGATGTATGATGCAGTCCTCCAAGCTCATGATGGAGT